TAACAAACCTTAAAACCTAAGTCTTACGAAAGTAGCCAATGGTATTGAGATATCGTTGGTTCTGGTTTGTTTACAATGCTGCACAATTCATTCTTAAAGATGGTAAATGAGAGAGATTATGTTTAAAGAGCCATGAACCATAAATAAACAAACCCCCCGTTGAGTTCAACAGATTTATTAGCGAGAGCTAATGAACCTTGTTAATTGATTCACTGTTTGCTTCCTTGCTAATTCTTTAAGCAATTTTATGTATCATGGTACAAAAAAAATGTATGTTAGGCAATAGAAACTACTAAAAAGCAGCATTCTCAGTACGTCAACAGTAACTCACATGATCTTCATTTGATGTGTTATTAGGACTTACTGAGAGAAAGACAGTTTTGGGGGCAATTTCTTCCTAATTTTGTATTAAAATACACAAATTATTAACCATTCAGATGTCAATAAGGAGAGGAAAAGGTGTCAGGAATATCAATATAGTAAGATTATAAGAAAAATTGATGGATTAGAAATGATTTTTTTTGCTTTATTATAATCAGTGTATCTTCTGGGGATTGAAATGTAGATGGCCTCATTATTTTGAGCAAAATTAATTTTAATAAAATCATAAACGTAATACTTACATTTGATATGAACCTTATTAATAGATTTGCTGTTTGTGCCCTTGCTAATTCTTTCAGCAATTTCATGTACCATGGTTAAAAAAAAGCCCCTTTCTTGTTGGGCAGACACGGGATATACTGTAATGTGTAGTGATTGTGTGCATTTTATAGACAAATGTGGCAGACAATGTATTCAGAGCAATGTCCCGCTAACAGCCATGAAGTGAATGGCCAGTTTTATCTGGGGGGACATGGGAGAAACTATGTCCAAGACGACTAAACACTAAACCTATTGCAGTATTGAAAAGCTGTGCTCAACATGGTGAAGCTACACAGTGCCACTTACATCCTTTGTTGCCTTCTGCAAAGATCTGATACCTGAATACTGTAATTTGAGCAGAAAATAATGGCATCGTACGATAGGCTATCCTTCCATCCTTCTTGTCTATTCATATCAAACATGATCACGCATTCTCCGCACGAGGATAAGCAATGTAACATTATCCTTGCTATTACATATTCTGATGCTGCAGACTCCAATCTAGTTCTGTACTGCGGCAAGGAAGCTATTTAAATAGCAATTTGGGATTATTAATGGTTACAATGGATATGATTTGTAAATTTTATTCTATGCATTATCTAAGTGGCAAGCATCTATTTAATTATGCTTGACATTTTACATCTTCCAAATCTCAGCACAAATAGAGAAATTGGATAGTAAAACACTGCTCATTGATTTTTTTTTTTGCTTTCCGAGGTCTGTAATGAAATTATGACCACAGCTTCCGAGAACTAACTGCATTACAAAGATTAAATTAACCTAAACTGAAATGAAATAGATATGTACGGTATCCTGATCATACCTAGGTTCGCCTACAATCTTTTTAAAATTCCTACAATGCAAAGGCTTTCAAAGCAGAGCTGGAAAAAAAGCCTTTGGTTCTTGTGCAAACTCTTGTTCATCTCCTTTTGGTTCAGATGCCAGCACATCACTCCAACTTTATATAATAATAATAATCCTTCCATTTGATATAGCGCCTTATCACGTCATTGAGACATCTCAAAGCGCTTCACGGAATACACTGTAAAGTGAATTGACTGTATATTTTGTGGGCAAAATGCGGCAGCAAATTCCTCACGCAATTATATTAATTATATATGTATATATAGAATGAATATATACAATATATTAACTTGATAGCATGTTATATACAATATATTAACTTGTTAACATGTTTAAGAATATTACTACATACTATATTTTTAAACTGGTACATTTGAGGCAAAGTTGAACTTAAAAAAAATCAAGTTAAGTCTAATGTTTAGCTGTATTGTGAATAAAAGTATTCCTTTAATACAATCAGAAACGTAATCCTTACATTTTATAGAATGCCTTTCTCGTCGGGCAGACACGAGATAAAGTGCAATGTGTAGTGACTGTGCATTTTGCAGGCAAATGTAACAGTGTGTATATATGTCGCAGGACATTTCAATAAGAAATCAGTTTGATTTGGTCTTTCCCTTGATCTGATCCTAAACGAACGAAGCCTGTTCTGAACTGCTGAATAAGCCGTGTTTAGGTCAACAGTACAGGCAAACATTTGGCTTAGCTTCACCTTTATCATCGGTTCATTCAATGGCACAAATCCATATTTAATAACACACCATCTGGATGCCAGAAACGTGCACTGTTTTCTCGTTTTGCTCATACATCTTCCTGCATTAATGTCAATCATTCTCTCGCCCAGAAGCTGGGCTGGAGGTTTGTCCCCAATCTTTTTCCACTGCCACTCTTTAACCAGCTGCTAGCACTAATACAACAGCAATAACAATCACTCAAACATCAGGACAGCTTTATTACTGTAATATGAGCCGTAACACATTACAATAAACACAAATGTCCAAATTAAAGTCAAAAAAATCTTTCTGAGTTCTCCCGTCCTAATGTTTGTCTGCTCTTTTCCTGCTATCCGGTGGGTCAATTATAATAATAATAAAATATAATAATCTTGACATTTGGTACAGCACCTTATCGAATTGTTGAGACGTCGCAAAGTTTACTGTAAAGTGTAGTGACTGTGTATTTTGTGGGTGAATATTATTTTTATGATATCTCAATTCCACCAAACGCTTGAGAGGTTCAGTATTTTCTTCAGCGACAATGGCAAAGGAAACCTCAGTATCCTAAGGCCCCACTAAAGCTAAATGAATGAATCGTCCAGAAGCTATTCTCTTGAACGATTTGCTTTGAAAGTGCCCGTATTTCATTTTGACTCTGTCGCTATCGATCCTTGAATAGAGCTTGAACTGAGTTCTGGAGTTGTTGCAGTTTTTATTTAACAGTTGGTTTCTTTTGCAATGTGCCGTCGCTTGGTCTTTCGTTCTTTATTCTCATTTCGGTGCGAAGCTTGCGTTATTTGAGAATACTTCAGCACTTTATCACACCTAATAATAATCCCTCCAAAACAAAAAAAAACAATAATAAATTGGTCATTTTCAATCTACGACTGTTTGTGGGACATTGCTGTGCGCAATTGGCTGCCGCGTTCGCCCACAAATGTACAGTCAGTTCACTTTACAGTGTGTTCTGTGAAGCGCTTTGGGACGTCCTCCCGACATGAAAAGCGCTATATCAAATGCAAGGATTATTATTATTATTATAAGGTCCCGCATTTCAAAATGAGACCTGTTGAGGGCAGCAGAGGTTTTAATTGTTGGTGTTGCTATCCCACCAACTGTAAGGGTCACATTTCAACCTTAGAACCATTCACCAAGCAATGTCCCAATTTATTGTCCCCAATTTGGGTGCGTGTTTCCTTCATTGCAATTGTCCGAATTAATTTCCCTTAATAGTTCTTAACGTTTCCTCATTCTGTGGATTAAGCCTAGATTTCTGATGTCCATTCCCATACCTAAGCGGAAGGTCAACATTGGAATACAGTTATAATTATTTCATTTGATATTGCGCCTTATCATGTCACTGAGACATCTCAAAGCGCTTCACAGGATATTTCTATCACAGAACATATGTTTAAAAAAATATATCAATGTGGATTTATTCCGGAGAGATGCTTGGGTGGTTTGGGATTAAACCTAAAAATTATTCTGTAACAAATCCATGAATTATTCCCCTTTTATTTTTCCTTCTCCTGCCTTTCAATGTATTTTATAATTTAACTCTCTCCCCAATCATTTCTCCAGCCAACAGAGGGGGACAGACTACTTCATCCCAAGTTTCTGTTTATATCTCACTCCTGAATCAGTCACTGGGAAGTTGAGCATTGAGGCCCGAGATATAGTTAGGCGTGCTCTCTTAGAAATGTGTGTTCAATGCCAGTAACTTCGGCAAATGGAGTAGAGAGTCGGGCATCCTTACGTTTAGTGTTTAATAGCTATTCACTTTAAATTAGATGTCGTTTGACTGTACACAGCTTTCGGCAATGTGTTCTAACAGATTGCTGATAAATGTGACTGGTAGGGTCAAGAGTTTGTATTTGGCTGCTAAATTCCTCAGGATTAGCAGCTACCAACCATCTGTATCTCGGAATCCACTGGGGACAATCGGAAAAAAAGCTGCACGATTGGTTGAAACTCAACTTTGGCAGCCTCGTCACTCTTTAACCGACCGAGCAATCTTACCACGTGGCACGGTTTAAGAATTAGTCCGGTTAACTTGGCCTGTCTGAAAGTTATTTTCAGTGAATTTGCAAACACAATGATAACTGTACTAGTGTAGCACCAGGTGAAAATGCTCTAAATCGGAACAGTGGGAACACATGTCCTCAATCCATCGAAGGAATTAGCTCACGTTGCTTGTAAATATTGGCTCACAAGGTGGATTCTATTTCACAATCTGGGTGGTCCTTCATTCCCCTCTTCTCTCCTCCCCCCCGCTCCAGGTCCATTCCTTGCCACTGTAAAGTGCTCCAAGATATTGCTCTATGTGGAGGCCGCTACATAAATGCAAGTTGTTATTGATGTCCTGTGACCCTCTTCAGTGGGCTTCTTACTTCCTTTTTCCTATCAGAATCCAACTCAGATCTCCGTTGCTGTGCGCAATTGGCTGCCGCGTTTCGCCCACAAAATATACAGTCAATTCGCTTCACAGTATATTCTGTGAAGCGGTTTGAGACGTCTCGAAGACGTGATAAGGCGCTGTGTCAAACGCAAGGATTGTTATTGTTGTTAAATGTTGATCCTCGACATCCTGTGGGACGTCCTCCTGACGTGAAAGGCGCTTTATAAATGGAATCTTGTTGTTGTTGTTGTTGTTGTTTATCAACTGGGACACCACAAAGAGTAAAGAGTTTGTAAAGAGTAAACTGAGATTAATTTACACCTACGAGTTGCTCCGTTGAAATCTACTGTCCTGACGGCTGTGTTTCGGTTTCCTTACAGTTTACGGTCACAACATGAAGAGCAGCAATGATTTTGTCGGCAGGATTGTCATCGGCCAATACTCCACAGGGGCCCCGGAATCCAACCACTGGCGGCGGATGCTTAGCTTACATCGGACCTCGTCGGAGCAATGGCACAGCTTGCGATCCCGCGCCGAGTGCGACCGGGTCTCGCCTGCGTCGCTGGAAGTGACGTGATGGAACCACCTCTGCCAAAGCTGCAAACCAAGCTGTTACAGTCAATAGTCACCAACTGGATGAAGGACAGGGGCAGACTCCGCCTATGTACCTCAACAAAGAAGAAGAAAACAAATATCTTAACGTACAATCATGCATCAAACACTGCCACGGCATCCACAATTTATTCGTATCCTCATTTCCAGAGATAGATGAGCACTGACAAAGTGATTCATGTAGTCGTGTTGGGTAATGTGCCGTCATATGATACAAATGCGAGAAACAACTAGTTTAAGGTACACTTGATTGTCCCTATGTTGTTATAGATTTTTTTAAAAAAAGTCAATGTGAGCTTTTTTTGGTGTCATTGGTGAAATCTGAGTGTTTCGATGGGTCTGGTATTTGTGGAAGTCATCAATATTTGGAGGATTACTGTAATTGTGTGGATATGACTGGAACGTGTCGTCTCTAGTGCTGTATGTCATGCCACAATGCTTATGAATAACAAGACCCCACTGTCGATAGATTATCAATAGAATATTACATTGGTATTTGAACGTATTGTTGCTATAATGAACAATCTGAGATCCGTAGAACTGTTTGATGAATTGTGCAGAATAGCTGTGAGCACATATATCGTTAGTCTCGGAACCTCCTGCTATATTGACATGTTGATGGGATAAGTTACTGATGCGACGTGTTTTACAGAGAGTCTTGGGTCTTTGCGTGATTGGTATGCAGTGTTTGAGTACTTAGGTAAAAGGATGTCCGGCTGTAGCTCTAGTTAATCAGTCAGAAAGTAACAACTATTCCGAATTCCCATCAGTGTTTCAATAAAGCACATTGGTAGATACAGGAAATATTTATTCTGAATAAAGCCAACATATAGATGCCATGCATTCACCTTGTCTTGCATTGACGATGCTGATCAACAAACTCGGTTGTGTCCATTTTAAGCCAAACCGCAAACAATATGGTAGTGGGATCGCCACAGACAGAGACACATGGCTCTGCCTTGGACTTAAAGCTTCCTTCACCTGTATGGATATCACAGATGTAATAGACATGTCTAGTGTAAGTTATATTAAATGTATGTTCTGTACCTGTATGTGATGGGCTGTAACAGAGTGAAGATTAAAAAAGTAAACTTTATATTTTCAAAATATTCTTTCGAAAGCAGTGGAAAGATGTTTCAAACCGTACTTCAGTACTGTATTAAAACTGTTTTGTCTTAGATGAGCAAGACTCTTATTTTAAAGTGAATCCCTAAAACTGTTTTGGCCACTCTTTAAAGAGCAAAATGATTGGTATGAGGGCTGTCTCTCTACTCTGTCCTAATGCTATCTGACTGTGAACGTGTGCAGATGTGTAGATAGATGTAGATGCCTGTTTATGTCTTTTAATAACAGTAACATTTCACCACCAACAATTAAATTTGACGAATTGCTAAATCAAAAAAGGAGAAAATGTCAATCAATTGAATTTGAATTAAAAAAAACTGAATTGAAGAAGCGCCAACATAAAACATTATGATTGTTCACACAGAATTGCAATGGGCCAGGTTTTTATTGATATCAGATATGATAAATCTAGACAAGGAATTTCTAATGTCAAATATAATCATAAGGGATTTCAGTAAATATCATCCTACTTAGTGAACACACCAAGTTCAGCTCGATTGCTTCCTGTTATTAGTGTTATATCTGATTCTAATATGTGCAATACAGATTGCAAAATATATTCCTGCATTACTTTTCCATTTCCACAGTACTGCACTAACCCACTCCGCCAAATTACTGTGGGTTAATTGATAATTGTAAGTAACTACTGAGCGAATGAAGCAATAGTGAATCTCCATCCGATTCCATCAGGCCTTGTGTGAAACCTTAGAGTTCAGTGAGCAAGGGCAAGGCCTGGGAGGAGATCTTACCCTTGAACAGGCAGATAGGTAACAAATCCCTGCTAAAGTGGTAACCAAACTGTGAAATGTTTGCACTCAAACTTTGCAAAGTAAATCTGTGGTGATATAATGTTTAGTCTGTCTGGACATTGAGGCAAACAATCCCAAGTAGCCTCCAACTTGGAAGGAATGTTCCTAATACGTTTCTGAACAGGCATGGAGATCAAGAACATTTCCGACGAAGAGATGTAAAAGTAATTGGGTGAAAGTAGCTTTGAGGGCATGTTTCTTTAGGCCTCTGTATAAAGGCTAGCATTTAGCCAAATGATAGTCTTCTGGGGAGCTTTCTTGTGAAGCTTGGCTGAGACAAGTTGGAAGAGAAGATGGAACGCCACCAGGAATGCATACCTTCGCTGCGTGTGAGGATTTAGACTTGATTGGAATTCAATTGCAGTGCCAGCTGTGGCCAAATAGCCCGTCAACACTCATAATTAAGGCTCACACATGAGTAATACAGTACCCACTTGGTGGAGGCACCTGGAAAAACCCTAGTCACTGTGGAATTAAACCAAAAAGAATGTGAAAGGAATCAAATAACCACAGGAGAAGAAAAGAGAGGATAAAATGAGACAACGGACAAAAATACTAGTTGATCATAGAATCACAGAATTATCCAGCACAGAAGGAGGCCAATAGGCCCATCGTATCTGTGCCGGGTATGAAAGATATGTAGAGCCCAAGTTACCCTGTGCTGCCTCTGGGTGAACTGGAATCACATGATAGCTCATAGATAACAACTGAAAGGAGATAAGAGAATTGGCTTACCACCCCATTGCTTGCCCCCACTCCACCCCCCCACAAAAAACCTCACTCTTCAAAGCAAATTGTTTATAGGCAAATTGGTTCAAGTAACAACTGTGTTTGGAAGGATAAGACCAAATGGGCTGAAGGATCTTCTTCTTTCACACCTCTCACGTGATCTCTCGTGACCAGATGGATAGTCAAACCTTGTAGGGTGTGACTTGTCTCCTTAAATCTGGCTCTTCCTGACCAAATGCTGTTCTGGAAATAGGATCAGGCTGTGGGTGGACTGAAGACAGCAGCAGCTGTAAGTCTATTGTGGAGCAAGTCCAGTTCAATTGCTGACATCCTGGATAATTCATTAAAGTGACTCAGAGAGGCAGAGCATGCGTGTGCGTGTGAGTGAGTGAGTGAGTGAGTGAGCGAGCGAGTGAGTGAGAGAGAATGTGAAAGTGTGCCAGTGGATGTGAGTGATATTGCGCATTTCAGTGGACAATAAATATTATGACTGGTTATATTTATGCTTTAAAAGGGACACCGTCCTCACACGCACACCCACACACACACACACGTGCGCGCACACACACACGTGCGCGCACACACACACACACACACATGCGCGCACACACACACACACGTCTTTGGCAAACATTGCATTCACAATCAAGGCAATGACAAATAGTTTGAGGAAATATAATTCTGTGACATCAATCACGACGAGAGACGAACGATTGCGTGATGCTGGAATTATTTTTATTTTAGTCTATGGCTGGTTAGTTACCCAGCGCTCTGGGATGTCCTCCCGACGTGAAGGACGCTATACAAGTGTAATGTGTTGACCTTACCTGGGTTCCTATGATTCTCCCCATCCTGCTCTGTTTCACGCCCGCGAGTCAACCCCACTTAGAGGGTAGGGTGACTCAAGCTTGACAAACAGCTGTGCAGTTTTTAACACACTCTGGGGGTTCTCTGACAACCTGCCACTAATAAGTTCCGGGATGAGGTAAGCAGCGCGCATCCCTCCGGTAGGAGAGTGCGCACACCATTCCACACAAAGGGAAATTTGCATGCCTTTCTGGAACTCCCCAGGCTGGTCTGTGCACACATAAGCGTGGCGATGTGTCAGACATGTGTTGGACATCTGGCTGACCAACAAAAACGATCAAAGTAATCTAGGCTGCGGTCCCTTCCCAAGCAAAAAAGGAAAGGTTGAAAGGAAAGGACACATTTCGTGAAGACAATTCGCCCCTTTTCAAAATCCTCCTTTACGCTTCCTTTCATTCTGCACCGGTACATTGACTTGCTATTTTCCTTGGTTCTACCTTTTTACTGTCTCCTTTATTATCATTTTGACTCATTGATTGCTTTCGCTTAGCAATGGTTCTGCTCTGTATTTTACCGAGTTCCTTTCGTCGAGTTGCATGTGGCCATCGTTGTTTTGTTGACTGTCACCTTGCCAGCTGCATTTAAGGCAAGCCTTCTCCTGAGAAGCCCTTACCTACCACCTTGCGCAGTTAAATAATCTTTTTTTTAAATCTAAAAGCTTCGAAAAAGACATAAAAGCAAATTATTTAAGGGTTATAGGTTTCTCCGATTTCCCCCCCCCCCCCCCTCCCTTTCCCCCTATGATCTTTCTCTTGCACTCCTCTATTTGCTGTGGTGTGACTGTGCATCTGTGACAAACTGGCGTTGTGGTTGACTGCACTCGACTCTTGACATCTATATGTCATGAAGTGTCTCCTGCAGTCAAACGGGCCTCGCAGATCAAGAAACCCTGCTGTTGAACTGCTTTGTTCCTCGGGACTGCAATCAAACAAAACGATTTGTGCAAAGACTCTGCTGTAACTAACGGGACATTCCGATACCCACTTGGCAGAACAGTGTGTAAAAAAACACACACTGAATGTAAAGCATATCGAACCGGGGTGCTATCTCTACCCGCCCCCACCCTCTGCTTGATGCAGGAATTATAATGAAGTGAGTCCTGTTCCCTGAGTAGGTGCTGGGGGCAGGATGCAGAATCTTGACATTCAAACTCAAAGTGATGGCTTTAAAAATGCTAAATGTGGTATCTTCACAGAGTACGGTGCGGTCTGCCTTAGCTTCGTGCCATCGATTAGTCCAAACTGTCACTCGGTGGGTTAAGAACTCCTTACATGTGCGACACATCCCAGACAATCAAACGTGCCCTCTGAGAGTTCAGCGCAAAGATTTGAGAGCCGGAGATAAGCTGGAAAGTCAATCAGGCTAATGAGTTTTTCTGGTGTCTGTCACTGTAAGGAGCTCACTGGGTCGTGCTCTGGGGAGTTAGGTTACGTGTTGTCTGTGGCAGTGGTGTTCAGTGGTAGACTGGTTCAGGAACGTCATGTAAAATGTCGGACACTCATTCATGGGGATGCCAATTTGCGGTGGGGGCAGAAAAAAGCGTGAAACAACCGTGCGTTTAAAAACTTTGTCGGGTTTAACTGGAACTTCTGAACTGGGCTGCACAAGATGCTAAGCATTCAAGGAGCCATTTAGGGTAGGGTAACCATACGTGCTTGATTTCCAGGGACAGTCCCCAGATGAGGTATTGTGTCCCTGATCAAATTTGCCTTGTCCAAACCCCAAATACAATCGTGCTGCCATATGAAGTCTCACGATGGTTTTTTTAATTTGTTTTACTTATATGTGTACTACTACTACTAAGAATAATTTTTAAAATCCTTGCATTTGATATAGCGCCTCATCGCGTGGTTGAGATGTCTCAAAGCGAACCTGAGTCAAAACCTTTCAGTTACATAATGTGAAAGATCATCTTGGATCATCCAAAGTGGTTTACGGTTCAAATTGATTGTGCAACAAAGGTATAATATTAGGTAGCATGCTTGCAGTAAATAATAATAATAATAAACCTTGCATTTGATATAGCGCTTTTCACTTCGGGAGGACGTCCCAAAGCGCTTCACAGAACACACTGTAAAGTGAATTGACTGTATATTTGTGCGCGAACGCGGCAGCCAATTGCGCACAGCAATGTCCCACAAACAGTCGTAGATTGAAAATGACCAATTTATTATTGTTTTTTGTTTTTGGAGGGATTATTATTAGGCTCTGTGTGGAGTAAGGAAACTTGCCCAAGGTTTCGCCCTCTGCCTAGAATTGAACTCAGGTCTCTCGCTTGCAAAGCGAGTGCTCTAACCACTGAGCTACAGGACTCCGACAGTAGACCAACAATCACATGTTTTGTAGCTGTACGGAATCCAAACCCTCCCCTACTCCCACCCACCCACCCCCACAAGCCAACTCCTAACCAGCAGAAAGAAAGTCCTTCAATCTAACTTGTCCTTTTTGAGCTTGGTGTAACTTTCTGAGATTCTGAATCCAGCCCCCTTGGGCCGATTTCCATAAAGGGGAGTGTGTGTGTAGTCAGAGGGTGGAAATCAAGCACCAGGGATCACTGAGTTAAGACCCGAACCGATTGAGAGAGCTTACTTATACTCTGGGTCTGATCAGCGAGTGGGCAACGATCCAATTGCCATCACAATGGTCAGATGGAACTTGTGTGCAATACTGTTTGTAACCGCGGTGTTAGGAGAAGCTGCTCCCCCAACGCATATCCAGATCAGCCAAGGTAAGTAAGAACCTTCATTAAACACTGGGGAAAGAGAAAAGAAGGGAAGGAGGGAGGTGGAGGTTGACTGCCCGGGAATGAATAATCAGTGGTCCCGGAATAATTACTGAACACAACATTGGGAGAAAATTGGGCGCAAAAAAACACACGTTGTTAACCATCACCATCGCAGACTTTTGGTTTAAAAGAAAGTTACTCGGAAGTGTTTTTGGAGGCTGCACATTCTATCTCTCTGGCTCTTTCGAAACAGAATTGATTTTATTTCAGCTCATCAAACAGGATAGAGAGCAAGTGGCAAGTCCCTTCAATCCAGTTTGTGGACTTGGTTTGCTGTTTAGTGTTATTTGTCTGAGTTTTTTTAATTTTGATACTGTTCTGAAGTTCTGTGAAAAAAAAGTAAAGCAAACAGTCCTTGAAAAACAGCCTAAACAATTGCCCTATCTGTAGGGTGACCATAAAGTCGTGATCCCATTACCTTGTTTAATAAGTCTAAAGAAATGATTTTTTTTAGATAATAGGGTAGTTATCACGACTTTTTGTGGTCGCATATTCGTTAAATGATCTGTTCTACATGGGAGCCAACTGGACAGTTTAAACACTGAGTGAGGCTGGATTTGAAACTTTGTTGGCTAAACTTTTGTCAGTTTCACTTTTGCTCCGCTGTTTTCCTACTGATTTCAATTCCAAGAGAAAGACTCTGCATTTTGGATCAGGAACACTAGTCAAATCTAACTTGCCAATGCCACTCTTTCGGACTTCGATTGCATCATTTTAATCCTCTTAAATTCACAAGTATCATCAAGCTAACCACACATATTAATCTTCTGATCATCGTGTGAAATTGTTACCTAGCTGGACTAAATGTAATAAACACAGTGTGTGACAGGAGTCTGGTCAGCACATGGAGGCGTAATATATTTTATTATTATTTAAATTTTATTAGTTAAAGATGCAGTTCAACTTCCATTGGTTTGACTGTGACTAATAGCTGGGGCAGAGAGAGAGAGATTATTAAACACTGTACCTGTAAGACTTGCATTTAATATGTCGCATCTCAAGAGCTTCACAGGATATTTTGTAAAGTGTAGTGACTGTGCATTTTACAGGCGGACGTGGCAGCCAGGCTAATGACTGAGCCAGGCTGACACCTCATTAAAACCTTTCAGAGGCACAACACAGACAGTCTCCAAACTGTCAGTGAAATGAATGCCTGTTCGGGGACAAGGGTTGAGTGATACGGACATTTTAAATATTTCTTAAAGAAATCAATTAAAGCGCTTGAATTGGTGCTGAGACATCTACAGGTTGTCTCTGCTTCCGATGTTGACTGAAGATGGAGGTGATTAAGGGTGGTCTGAGTAGATGGTAAGAATGAGATAATAATCCTTGCGTTTGATATAGCGCCTTCTCACATCTTCGAGACGCCTCAAAGCGCTTCGCAGAACATACTGTAGAGTGAACTGACTTATATTTTGTGGGCGAAACGCCGCAGCCGATTGCACACGGCAGTGTCCCACAAACAGTCGTGAAGTGAAGTGACCAATTTATTATTATTATTTTTTTGGAAAGAATTATTACCCATGGAAAAGTGATCCACCAATCGACTAACAATCAGGTTCCTATTTACTCCTAGGTAAACAGAGGCGTGTGGAGTAAGGAAACTTGCCCAGCGTTTCGCCCTGCTGGGAATCGAACGCTTGTGAGGCGAATTCTCTAGTAGCTGCCATTGTACTGGATGTGGGAAGATGGAGATAATAATAATAATAATAATCCTTGCATTTGATAGAGTGCCTTATCACGTTTTCGAGATGTGTCAAAGTGCTTCACAGAATATACTATCATTTCAGGTGATTGGATCATTTCAGGAGTGGGGGTGAACCATATAAACCAGTTAAGGTGTTTAAACACAATGTAGTTGACACCAAGGCAAATTAGCTGAATCAGAGAATTAAACTGATAAATAATAATCCTTGCATTGCATATAGTGCTTTTCACGTCTTCGAGACGTCTCAAAGCGCTTCACAGAATATACTGTAAAGTGCATTGAATGTATATTTGTGGGCGAAACGTGGCAGCCAATTGCACACAAACAGTCGTGGATTGAAGTGACCAACTTATTACTGTTAAAATAGACTAAAAAAAAACTGTGAATAAAGAACTATAAATGAAAAAACAAGTTATTTTCACTTTAACCGTCTCACTTCCCAATAAACTTTTCATTGTTAGTATTTCAACAATAACTTTCCGCTATATTCAGTTTGAAGTGTTTATTTGCTTGTGCTTGCCAACATCCAACCCCAACTGGTTGCATCTCGCTTTCAGCTATATACTATACTGACGTCTGGATCTTTTACTGATCCCCAGAGCACAATACTAAGAAATCATTTGCAGTCGAACAAGGAATACCGTATTACTTAATAGTGCAGATTCTGGCTGTGTGCTTTCTCCAGATGTTCTTGGTTGAAAGTAAAACAGAAGTGTACATAAAGCAATATATAATGTACCTAGCTGCACATTATGGTGAGCAGAAGCCTGCACAGAGCAAACCCATACCACGTCATAGGCGATGCATTTTAGCTGTGTATATTTTAGCACACTCTAACAACTCCTCTGAATTCTCTACTCCAAATCATTGAAATGATAGCCTCTCAGACTGTCTCACTGTAAAGTAAATTGACTGTATATTTTCTGTGCGAAATGCGGCAGCCAATTGCAGTAATTGGCATTCATGTGATGAGCTTTATCTTTTTTTAAAAAAACACACTTATCTGAAAAACGAGCAGATTAACTTATTGTTACATACCAGGCCAAAGCACATGGACAAATAAGGTAAGCTTCAGTGACCACCACTTGAGATAAACTTAGTTTGTGGACAATCGCCCCAGCGGGAAGACTTGGGTCCTAACATTGGCTCTCAGCAACCAGCTGTAGTTTTAGCTTTCTACCCATCGCAGGAAAATTATTACACCTTCGACAGCATCTGTCGACACCTCTCGGTGTCCGACCTTGTCTTTGTAAAGCGCTAAAAAAGCAAGTTGTTCTATTATGAATTTGCGTCCGTCACAGGCTTGTGAGTTCACCGATACCATTTGGTGCTGCTTGAGACATTCCAAACTAATTCGAACAGATAATCACTTGAAGAGTGTCAATGCAAAATAGCATGGGGTGGGGGAGGTGGTGTGAAAAGCACGAGTACATAATAGATAGCTCCAGCAGGAGAGCTAACAAGACAATAGGGCCTCTCCGACTAAAAATTCTGCTGCCATTAAATGTTGTGTATGAATGAGGGAATAGCTAAGGATTTACATGATTTAAATAGTGTTTAGCTTCACCCTTGAGGTTTAAATGTTAGTTGAACTCCTGTGTAACTCCCTACTCAGTAATTGTTGTTCTGCATGAGCAACATCATACATTTGGATTTGACATCAGTGGTCGAACACCGGAGCTATGTCAATATTTTTAGTATTTTTTATAATTCCCCATGAGCAATTGTATTTTAATGGGCTCCATCATGCAGGTAACATTTCAATTACAAATTAACGGAGTCGCAGTGGCAAGCATCAATCACCTTGCGTGCCTTACTGTTTTGTTCTGCTATGCTTCGGTTACCCAGTCAAGTAAAGAGTGGGAGACTGATGATTAAAGTGTCCTTTAAATTGCCAATCATGCTTTCCGTTGATTATTTATGTTGCAGAACTGCCTCTTCGACTAACTGGGACCTTCTCCGCGTACTCCTGTCCGCTCTTCTGGACAGAATTCAACGGATACTGTTTCCGTTTCTTCCCCGAGAACAAAACGTGGGCTGAAGCTGACCTGTACTGCGCTGAGTTTTCGAATGGTCTCAGATCAGCAAAATTAGCATCTATTCATAGGTAATGTGCACATCTTTAATTCCCAGCTCCCCTGAAATCCAGGGTTCTTTCCAAACCCACCCGCTCTCCCCGGAACAACAGCCATCTCTGTTCACTCAAAACACAAACCCAGATCCCAGATGGCAGAAATCCGGCCTCACAGTTCACCGCCAGCTGTGGCTTGAGCATCTCCTCACCCAATGCCTCTCCCTATGACAGGCCAAAACTGACCTTTACTCCAAAGTCATCTTGGAGGCAAACAATAATCCAAAGACGCTGTTTTCCACCGTCCATCACCTCCTCCGTGCAGATCCTCAAGCCCTCTCTGGTTTTCGCCCTGACTGCCCACAGCACAGAGACAGCTCTGTCAAAGTCACAAACGATATCCTCTCCATCTGTGACCAGGGCTCCCTCTGCCTCCTCGTCCTCCTGGATCTCTCTGCCATGTTCGACACAGTCTTCCTCCTCCGCCACATTGCCCGCCTCCGACCTTACCTTACACCAAATGCAACCGAAATCCCCTGCATGAATTTGTCACCTCCCGCCTGGATTACTCCAATGCACTCCTCGCCGGTCTCCCCAGCTCCACTGTTCAAAAAATCAAAAAATCTGCCGCCCACTACTGACCCGGACCAAACTCCATACCCACATCTCACCAGTTCTGCCCAGGATCCACTGGCTCCCCATCACCCAACGGATCGACTTCAGGATCCTCTCCCTCGTGTTCAAATCCCTTCACTCTCTGGCACCTCCCTCCCTCCCTCCCTCTCCGACCTCCTCACTCCCCAATCCACCACCCGGCGTCTCCGCTCGACTGACACCGGCCTCCTGCTCGTCTCTCGCACCCTCCATCCCACCATCGGAGGTCGCGCTTTCAGCCACTACGCCCCGAAACTCTGTGACACTCCCCCTTCATCCCTCCCACTTGGCCCGTTTGTCCCCCTTTTCTCGCTTGAAAATCTTCCTTGCATTTGATATAATGCCTCATCACGTCCTCAAGACGTGTCAAAGCTCTTCACGCAATATACTGTAAAGTGAATTGACTGTATATTTGTTGGTGAAACGCGGCAGCCAATTGCGCACAGCAGCGTCCCACAGACAGTCGTGGATTTAGTGACCAATGTATTATTATTTATTTTTTAAGGAATGTTACACCCAGAAAAACAATCCACCAATCGACTAACAACCGGGTTCGTACTTACTGCCAGGTAGTGTGGAGTAAGGAAACTTGCCCAATGTTTCGCCCTGCCAGGAATCGAACCCAGGTCTCTCGCTTGCGAGGCGCGTGCTCTAACCACTGAGCTATTGGACTCCGTACTATATGGAAACCACAAAATCCACATACTTATACATACATCCTTCCAGGGAGAGAGTTCGCATTCCATTCCAATAAATATCTCTGAAATTTCCACGGGTAGAAAGGATGCATGGAACTCTGTTTGGTTTGGATAGCACGGTGGTGGGTGTCCGCATGCGTCAGACACCCGGCTGAACCCCACCCCCCCCACCCACCAAAAAAAAATGGCCAGCAGCACAATTATTCTTCATTCATTCTCCGTGTTAAACAATTTTGACCTGTGAATCTTAACTTGGTCAATAAATAAATCGTAGTAAAAATCTGACTCATGGAAACATTTGATATTTCACTATGAATCATCATTTCCATTGACAGAAAATCTCATCCCCTCTCTAGGATCACACTGTGTTGTCCTTATTTTTGTCATTTTATAATGCCTTGTTACACCTAACATGAGAATTCGTAGCAGCCTGTGGCACTACAAGCTAATACTACTTTGTATGCTATTTGCTCAAACGACTGCTGTTTGCTATATAATTTGCCGACCATTTATAATGCTTTCTCTCCACCCGACCTTTGAGTACTGAGCCGTTATTTCTATCTCATGATTTTGTTTTATTTTCTCCCTCCAGTCCTGTTTTTGTGAAATTACGTTTGATGCAAAGTTTTACACTCTGTCCTCGCTGTCGTTCCCAGAAAAATAAATTATGTCGAATCGAGTTTGAGGAGAGCGGTTTTCTAAGGTTATCGCATTGTGTGCAAACAAGCATTCTAAATTCATATTTCTGTGTTGCTGTTTACCAGCTGGGAAGAAAATGTGTTTGTTTATGACTTGGTTAACAGTCGAGTTCCTGGAATCCCCACGGATATTTGGATAGGACTTCACGATAGGAGAGTGGTGAGTCCATATTACTTACGGTTAATAAGTCATTTTTATTGCCTTGATATTTCAGTGAACTTAAATTTGGTGAGTTCGGCTAATTGGCTAGCCCGGGAAAACTAATAATCGTCAAAACAGTCATCCGATGTGCTTTCCCTATTAAAATGCTTTTTTCCTCCTCTCTCTCAGAAGAATGAAAGATCCATATATTTTTTTTTTAAAAAAATCTCCGTTATTTAGTACCTGTCGTGAATGATTTGTGCCGAAAGGGCGTAACAGATTGGAGCGATTAAAAAAAAAAAAACGATGCGGATTAAACGCAAGTGAAAACGCTTTTTGAAAGGTGTGCCGCTCAATTAAGATGACATTACGTGGAACTCACGATGCCTCCAGTATTCTCTGTGTTTTGATCTGTGTCGAAATTCTCTGCTGTATAGTTTTTTTTTTAACATTCAGATAGCTCAAGCAGCGAGCACTACACCAGGGGCACACAGCAAGGTCCTCTTGGACACATTGGCTGATGAAGCCAGCTGACTGCACAGTAATCCGAGGCATCGTTGAACAGTCAGTCTGGCTCATACATTAAACTTAGATGTCAACATGTTCTGAACCCTGTGAGCCCAAATCCTGTTGGGTGGGGGCTGTCCTGGCTGGACAAATACAAGGTCCCTTACCAGCACTTTGCATCGCGTTAATTTACAGTACTTTTTTTAAAAAAAAGGGGCCTTGTGAAAATGTTGTTTTATGAGTAAGAATAAACATCCATATGTCCCGCAGAGGATAAAATAAACAAAACGTGCCTTTTCAGTTGGCAAGCTTTTGCTCAGTTTGATAATCCGTTATGCACGCTTTCTATCACTGCCAGACAATCGAACCTTACAAACGTGAACTTTCGATATTGTTTCTTTCCTTCTTTGCCCCACTATCGGCTCTTGTTTTTAGATGGTCTCTCTGTGGCTGTATAGAATAGCTTTACTCTGCGTTTCCTCAACCCTATAATAATAATAATAATCCTTGCATTTGATGTAGCGCCTCATCACGTCTTTGAGACGTCACAAAGCGTTTCACAGAATGTACCATAAAGTGAATTGACTGTACATTTTGTGGGCAAAATGCAGGGCAGCCAATTGCGCACAGCAGTGTCCCACGAACAGCCGTGGATCGAGTGACCAAAGTGTAACACCTAACCAGGTGTGCGCTGTTCTCAGGTGTTGATACATGTTGTGACTTTAATTGTTTTTTGAAATTGCAATGTACAACAGGACAGACTGTGAGTTAAGATTAATTTGAACATTTCATACATCGGCTGCAGTGTTTAGCCCCAGAGATACCTTTTTTTTTAATCGTCAACCTATGAATCATTCTCGGCAGGAAGGGAGTTTTGAATGGACAGATGGGACAACATACAGCTACAGTTACTGGGACGGAAACCAACCTGATGATGGCATCCAGTTAATACCGGAGGAAGAGGATTGTGTGCAGATATGGTTTCGACAAAACAGTGGTATGAGATCTCGTTTACTTAGAATGCGTCTGCAACAGCCTCAACTCAAACCCAGTCCAAATTCCTCTCGTCACTTAAGTGATGTAACATTGACAATGTTGAATCAAAGACTAGAATTTTACATGTCTGTTGAATGCTTAGACGTGAATAAATAATCCTTGTATACTTAATAATAATAATAATCCTTGCATTTGATATAGCGCCCCAACACATCGTTGAGACATCTCAAAGTGCTTCACGGGATATACTGTAAAGTGGAATGGCTGTGTATTTTGTGGGTGAAACGTGGCAGCCAATTGCGCACAGGAACGTCCGTTTAAATTCTATCTTGGATAATTTCCTTCTCGTGATCATTAGTCAACCGTGACTTGGTGGTGTAGCGTTCCACAGGCACATGGTGTGCGTCATAAAGAGCCAGCATGATGGGAAAGCCGTGAAGATGGAATGAAATACAATACAAATTACAATACAAATTACATTTGTGTAGCGCCTTTCACGTGTAAGAATTCTAAGTCCTTGACTGTCGCATTGATTCGCTGTGTATCTTCATTAAGCATGTACGTTCAGCCAAAGACAAGGCCACTGCTTCCTCTAATCATCCACTGAAACAGTCCCAGATACGCTTGTATTTCAGTTGTATTTGCAGCAGTAATTTGCACTGAAATTAGCCTTGTGGAACTCGAATGCCCATCTGTAGGGAATCTGCAGAGAATGGAAGAATCCAAGTCACCTGCTGCACACCACACAGTTAATAAATAGGAACATTGTCAGGCTGTTCTCCTGCAAAGCATAAATTGGTGTAAACTTGCAAATTATAGTAGCAACATCCACAAAACACTGCAAACCTCTGAGGATCTGAGTGCATTGCATCCAGCCACAGCAGAAACCTAATGTCCCACCTGAATGTCTGGTGAATAATAATTGGCTGAACTATAACGGATTTCATGCCTGTGAATAAAATAACAGATGGATGAGCAGCAGGGGAGCCACAGACTCAGCTGCCAATCAGTACGTGTTTTTTGGCGGCATTAATAAAACTTGCCAGGCTCCAGATCACGGTGGAATTGGGTAACCATAGTAGCCCAGCAATTCAGTTCATGGATGCCAGCCGGAAACGTGTGTAATCTTTGCCCACTTTATTAATTGGACCGTTAATAAAATACACAAGGAGTGTTGAAGCAAACACTTTCCCCACAAGACAAAGGTATTCAGCAATGCCGTATACAGTGTGAATTTTTTCTGCCAGTGACTGCCTTGTGTTATGAGTTGGAAAGTTGGAAGGATTGCTAACCTTTACTATTACCTGATGTCTAGAAGAAAGAATGGTTCACTTTCGGGCCACTGTTCTACTCTCCCCCCACCATCCCCAACCCTCCAACCCAAGCCCCTCCCAGCTCACGCTCCCACTACATCTTTATAAGCCACTTCATAATCATTGCTTTATATAAGTGCAATTGCTGTTGTGCTTGTATGACATTGAAACAGTTGCATTCAAACCTTTTTTGATACCCTTCTTATTTATAATCACTAAGTACTGTTACCTCTGAGGTCGGGAGCTAACAACAATGACTTTCATTTATATAGCGCCCTTAAATAGCTTCTCAGAGCGCTGAACAATGGCGTAGCTTGACACTGAGGGGAGATGACCGTAAGCACGGTCGAAGAGGCAAGTCTTCGGATGTGATCTGAAATCGGGAAGGCACTGTTAGTGAAGAGGGCAATGCACTGCGTCCGATCCAGGCTAAGTGTAATGTGTAAATGGTATCATGCTGACACTGGTGCAAAACTAGTAACATTTTCCATTCAGCAGTTGTCGAGTATAAAATGTACTTTTTCCCCCTGACTGTTTTTGATGTTCAAAAAATTACAATTGGATGGCAAAATAACTCGCGGAAATTTCTCCTTTTCTATTCCCAGCTCTCAGGTCCTGGAATGACAACCGTTGCAGCCGCGAATTTCCATTTGTTTGTAAAATTCCGTCCTTAGAGAACAACTAGCCAGCATACGCATCATGGACTGATGTTTCCAATTCGCTTTGAAGGTTGTTTCCCTGGAATTAACAGCATTGACTCAAACGGCATCCTAGCCAACTGGTGAAACCAATTTTAGTAGCTCGGGTTGAAGTACTGTATTGCACCAACACAGCATCAATATGTTGGCACTGGACAAAAAAATACAGGTCTTTCTTCTGATTTCATTACTTTCAGGTTTCAATTAATCACAGCCCTTTCTGATGGACAGTGTGACTTCACGGTGAATGTCAAAGCAGAGAAATGCAATATTCTCCGAATGACTTTCAATCTCAATGTACGTACGCTAGTGATTTTTGATTGATTGGTTCAATTTGGTTTCCAACAACGTAAATTGGAGGTTTGACGTGCCTTGTGCTGGATGTCTCAGCCGCACCCACACCAATAATGTGTATTTGTTAAAGATGCACATAGTTTTTCAAAAGATCTATGTAAATGAGTACCTGCGCCTCATAAATCATCGCGATGCAAAATTGCAGTTGAAATAACAGTTCAGTAATATTGTCAGTTTCCAATACAGTCAATTTACAATCCGAATGTTGTTATATTTCGAAGAACCATACTATGCCATCAGAGACGCTTTTATGCAAATCTTGGGTCTGTTTAATTTGTCCAATACATTTTACTTTCAATCTTTCAGATGCATTAGAAATAAATGTTTTAGTTGTTGAAAATGTCAGATAGTTTGGCCCTAAATTTTGCCAGCAACCACTGCCACTGGCTAGTGAACCTGAACATGATAGAGGGGAGTTGTATTCATAACTGATAATCGTCCAATGTAAAATATAGTAATAAGCCGGTAGTTTGTGATTCCAGGTATTAGCAAGTTATAGACTAGCTGGAAAATACTGAGAGATGATTACAATAAATTAAAACGTTGACAATGACTCATTCTGGCCAGTTCTATGCGAGTGAGTTCAAGAGGCATTACAGTTGAAGACCAATTTCCGAATTGACTCTCTTCCAGTGAAAATCAAGCGAGGACATGTGGTTTCCCACCAGTGACCTCTTCCCTCCAGAGTCTCTCTCTGTGAATGGTAGATTCCACTCCCATTGATAAAATATTCAAAAAATAATTTTTCATGAGGGGGGAAAAAAAGGCTATGGGTATTTTCTATTCAAACAGTTTTGCGTTGAGCTGTCTTTTTTCAGCAGTTGCAAAGCATAAGTAACAGAGGCCAAAGAAATCACCGCTGAGTGTATTTTCCTTTACACTGTTCATGGTAACAGAGAAATTAATTTTCTGTTCAACATCTGAGTGCTAAAAGCTCTTTGAGGCTATCAAAATACTGTGAAGCATTTTTTCCCCTGTATTACGTAATGTCTGTGAAGATTTCCTTTTCATTTTTAATGGTTGCGTTGAATAGTTGGTTAGACTTATTTTATGTAGAACTGAAAAGCAGTAAACCAGGTGCATTGTGTCATTGTAAGGAACAATGTACAGGACAGTGATGTATAAGGAGAGAATCTGTACCACTGATGAAGGCAGATTTCAATCGGGTTTTTTTCTGTATCGCTCTTTTTTTATTGAAAAAAAATAGTTTCACCGTATCCAAGAAAGGAAAAGCAAATAAGGAAACTTACTGAGTACTTTTAAACGCTGCCAATTTTCTGCATAGCAGAATTAAAAATGATGGTGGCAGAGAATAAGCCGACAAAACATGCAAAGGCTTTTGTCAGGTGATTATTGTCAAAATCAGTGAACCCTTTTGCTAACACTTTCAAGTTCTTAACAGGCTTTTGATCCTGAAATCATTTCTGATCTGCTTGCACACGGATTGAAAAGCTATGAATTCTTAAGGAAGTTCAGATACTTTTTATTTACCGCCAACAGTGCTCCCTAACTCGAGAACTGGAATGAAAATGAGTCCAACTGATTTCATAAAATGCTAAATTCTCTTCAGTTAAAATTAATGTCATTGCATTTTTTTTGTTAGTGCCGTGCCATAAACACTGGGATTGAGTATGGAAACTGTCAGTGATTTTAGGCATAATGTTACTGTAACAGCAAACTTATTTATTTCTTATGTTAGATTGGCGAACAGTTACAGGTATATATAGCATTTTCTATTTCCCTTTTATTATGAATGTATTTTAAGGACAAATAGTCGTGCGAAAAATTAGCTGTAACTTTCTTAGACCGTATTTTACAGAAAATATGAGATGTGCATATAGTTTATTGTTAAACTGACTTGTAAAGGTCTTTAATTTCTGTACAGTTTAATATAAAATAAAAAAAATAATCTTTCAGTCGTGTATCAATTTATTCATAACAAACAGAGCTTTTTTGGGGAGGGGGGAGATTTTCTTTGCCTGAAATTGTTCTAAATAAAGGTTATTTGCGTAACTTAATTATTACCTGAATGTGTTAGAGACATAATGATAATCCTTGCATTTGGTGTAGTGCCTTATCACTTGTTGAGTCGTCTTAAAGCGCTTAGAGAATTTGCTGTGTATTTTGTGGGCAAAGATATAATAATAATAATAATAATCCTTGCATTTGATATAGCGCTATTCACGTCGGGAGGACGTCCCAAAGCGCTTCACAGGACACACTGTAAAGTGAATTGACTGTATATTTGTGGGCGAACGCGGCAGCCAATTGTGCACAGCAATGTCCCACAAACAGTCGTGGATTGAAAATGACCAATTTGTTATTGTTTTGGTTTTGGAGGGATTATTATTAGGCTCTGTGTGGAGTAAGGAAACTTGCCCAAGGTTTCGCCCTCTGCCTGGAATTGAACTCAGGTCTCTCGCTTGCAAAGCGAGTGCTCTAACCACTGAGCTACAGGACTCCACGATAACAAGATTAATATAACAAGATTCCAGGGATGGTTGGGGACAGCATATTAAAGCAAATTCAACAGAAGCCGAAAGACAAAAAGGCGAATATATCTACGGGATTAGCAGCCGCACACTATTTGAAAGACTCATTAGTAATTAATGATAAGTTTCTCCGTTAAATGTCAGCCAATTGCACAAGAGGTTCAGATGGAGAAGGCCCTTTGGCCCATTTGATCTCAACCTTCCAGAATCCACGCCCTGCTCTCCTCCTATGACAGCATCAAGCTGTTTCTTAAATGAGTAATTCTTCATCATTTAGTAATCTCTGTAGCATTTGGCGAAGTAGTTGTCCAGCTTTTCCTCTGAAACGAGTGCAGAAACCTTCTCGTGGCCTGTGAAACCAGACTCGGAAGATTCTGAGCTAGGACTGTTCGTTCCTGGAAAATCTCCACCATCTGCTGTCTCACGAGAGGAGACACAGGATGTGTGGCGTGATCAACCGGGTGTCTGACACATGCGGAAACCCATCACTGTGCTTAAGAGTATCCAAACCAAACTGAGAAGTCCATGTATCCCATCTACACGCTTACCTAATCCCGGAAAGAATTAGGCGCAGGTTGGCAAGAGCCCAGGCTTGGGGACTTTGGTGGTGTGAGTGGTCACTTTTACAGACACAACACTGGCAAAAAAAATAACCATTTCTTTACCTAACGTGCTTGAAATATCCTTCTGGTATGTTATGAAACTGGGATCAATAGCTGCCACTCCATCCATCCATTCATCTCTGTGAATTCTGAAGTGATTTAACTGGGTTCGTTCCAGAAAATATAAAAGCAATTAATAATATTTAATTAAAGAATATGAACAGGAACGAGAGATTTGTGGGCACTTTACTCTATTGTGGATTTTCTTTGCTGCAGTTCTCATTAAAAAAAAAGTACAGCGATTCGGGACTCCAATCCCATTAGCACCTTAAAAATGCTACTGTAATCGAGAAGACGGTGCGAGAGAGTGGGAATAGTCTCTGGCAGTGTTTTTTTTTGTAAGAGACATTCTGTCCTGAGCAAGTGTCGGTTTGGCAGCTCAAAAAACGGATCCACTTGTAAAGTTTTTGATTCCATTTTTTTCCCCATTTTTTCCATTTGTTCCACTCTTTGAGATCCAACATCCCCAAATTCCCAATGCTTTGCGCTCCAGTTTAGTATAATAACATACTGCAAATTAATCTATAGGGTGAAAATAATAATAATAGTAATACTTTTAGGGTAAAATTTGGAACTCCTGATCCTATCATTAATGGGAGCCCTGTCAATGATCTACCTTATTCTCCTATTAATTACCTACAACGATGTTAAATTCCTGGTTACCACATAACACGAATAAGCCTTCTTGACAGAACCAAATCCTCTTGGGAAACAGCGGCAAGCAATGGCTTCTGATGAATATCTCTCAGCGAAGGTAAGCACATAATTCACAACTATTGTGTTATATTACATGCTCAGCTGCAAAATATTCTTCTGTTCATGCCACTTGTGGAAGATCTGCAACAACAAAACATCTAATCTGTTTTAGCAGCGATGAAAATAATCTATAGCTGCATTATTTTGCTATTGTTTCGTTTCCATTTATATTGCTTCAGATAAGTGGAATAATTGAACTCTGTGTCATTGAATGCAAAACAAATACAATAGCAAAGTAGCATTTTGGTTTACCCTTAACCATAATTAAAGGAAGAGTTATACATCATAGAACAGAGTGCGTAGTAGTTTGTTATTGATGTTATTTGGTCCTGTGAAAGTTCATTATAATTTCTTTGTGTGGCTAGAATCACAGTTGATGTACATTTTAGATGAAGCCGGAAAAGAGAGATTGAGCGTATCTTAAGACGGATAATTTGATTGGGTCCTGGCTGCAATTTTCAAAATGATCAGTGTGCTGTATTATCTCATCTGCTGTGAGGCACGGTTGAGGCCTGAAATAACATGGAAGTGCGGAAGGCTAAAGGGATTCTTGATTGAATCGGGTTGAGAAAGGAACTTTCCAATCAGGATTGCAACCCATTGCGCTGAACTGAACTCCGAAGGTATTTGTCCACCAGCACACAGTCGCAATACTTTACAGCAAAAATCTGGTGAAGCAATCAGACATTTTGACAATGACGATGTGATAAGGCACTATGTCAAGTGCAAAGATTATTATAGAGTAAAGATTAATTTGAAACAAAGGTATAAATAGGGTCGATCATCCAGTAATAAAGGGAGGGAATACATTCTGAAGGTTCTGCAATCAACATAGATTTCGTGTTAAGGAATCCTATTAAGCCACATCATCCTTTGAATGAATAGCATTTTCAAACAATCTTTTATGCTTTTTTTTTCACCTCTGATTTCCAAGGTGACTTTCTTAATAACCAGGGTAAGTGTCTGACTCTGTCATTAGACGCACTCTGAGACATTATCCTACGTGGTATGTGAATGTAAGTTGTTGCTAGTTATAAATACAGCAGCCCTTCTTTTTTATGTCAAACCGATCGTAAACAATGCAACCAGAAACAATTTTATCTTCAATATAAAAAGCTCTTTTCTCTAGCACCTACTCAGGATTCCCTTTCCCTTCCTCCCCCGCAATCCCCTCTTCTCAAATTCTTTGTCATGGAACCGTAATGTAAAAATAATGCTATCTTATTTGTCTCTCCAAAAGGCTTGGCTTTTCTGCCAATCCTGACTTTTCTACTGCTTCTCCTTTCATTACTATATCCACTTCAGCCAAATAACATTTCCATGAGAGTGGAAGAGTTCAACTTCTGCACCCATTATTTGACTGTCACATTTGATTTTACGATGACGTTGAATATTATACATTAGCACTTTACGTGCCTCTCTGTCCAAGAAAAGCAAACCGAGCTGGCACAAACAGCACCAATAAAACATAGCTTTCCCTTGGTTTAAACTGCAAGGCATGCATATTGTTTTTCAACGTTACCATGGAAACACTCAAAAAACACAACTAAATGTTGCTCCCTTGCCATCTCTACCCAGATGATCCAGTATATGCTTTTACACTGTTTGTGGGACACTGCTGTGGACAATTGGCTGCCGCGTTTCACCCACAAATATATACAGTTAATTAATTTTACAGAGTATTCTGTGAAGTGCTTTGAGACGTTTAGAAGACGTGAAAAGCGCTGTATCAAATGCAAGGATGAAAAATATTATGATTTTTATTATTATTAATATTACACCACTGTAGCTTCGAATCCCACAAGTGTTGCACAATCATCAGGAAGCAAGTCAAATATTTTAACACCGTTTCGTTTTTATCACAGTCTGGACCTCGCAATGCCGGAGCTCTGTGCTCAATAAACCAGGAATGTTGATGCAAATCAAACAACTAATCCACTATACCTATTGTGATAGCACAATGTTCATATGATTGCGACTGGTGGTTGCACCACTGATTGGGTGGAGGTCAGTGTATCACTAACCTGCCCCTTTCTAGACTATCTTTTCCCCACGTTAATAGAGCAGAGAGAGGTCCTGTTTAATTGGATGCTAAAGATGCCCATGATTCAATCTAATAATAATCCTTGCATTTGATATAGCGCCTTTCACCTCGTCGAGACGTTTTAGCGGGCTTCACAAGATAAACTGTAAAGTGGATTGACTGTGTATTTTGTGGGCGAAACTGTAAGTGAAGGGAGTTTCTCCCAGTGTCCTGGCCAACAAGCCTCCAGATAAACTGGTATTCACCAATGGCTATTTGTGGGACCTGCTGCCAAAAATTTGCCTGCCATGTTTGCCTGCTAACAAACACACAGTCACCAGACTCGGCGACCATTTCTTGTGAAGCACTTTAAGATGTTTTAGCTGCGAAAGGCATACACACACAAAAAAATTATTATCACTTAACAAGTAAAACTAACCCCGAGTGATGGGCTGGTTTGTCACTCTCTGGGCTGAACACCGCTACCGATAGCAACACTAGGGTAAAATTTACAGTATTCCTTAACTTTTTTTTAAGCAACACTAGCAGTTGGTGGCCTGCTTCTTAACTGAGTTTCTTAACTAACTAACTTGGGGAACGCTTTACAGAATACTGCAAATTTTACCCTGTGTTTTTTGTTACTGCCAACGTGAACCCACTGTTGGTGTTGAACGAAACACAGAGGACCTAAGACTTTTCAGTAGCCAATTTAAAGGGGAGATGTGGGGCAAGTGCCCTCTCTTCAGCAAATACTCGTCAAGTATTGTTGAATGTAGACGATAACGCTCCTTCACCATTCTGAACAAAATGCACGTTTTTATTCTTTTTTTTTTACTGGATCGACTGAGCAGGAAATATCGCTTCACATCAGCGTTTCCCAGGTCTGTTCTGTTCTTGTTTAGGTGAAGGATTTGTGGAAAACATGACATTACGTAGAATATTCCAGCACAGATACAGGCCACTGATTCAGGGAATGCATTCCT